TTGCTTCTTTTTTAAATGAGTTAGCTGACATTTCTATTATGCCTCCGGTTTTTTTTACATATGCACTGTGTTGAGACTCTAAATAAGGCTTTTAGCTGCTGGTAGCAGCTTCCTTATGTTGGTCTGTGATCAGTCCATATTGCCAGACTGCATTTAGATTCAGCAGAGCATTTTTAACATCCTGGTCCTCACTTTCTCTCACACTACTCAGTTTTTAGGCTGAATCGTCGTTCTATCTCATAGCACTAACTAGCACAGACCAATGGAGACTTTTCCTGACTATCTGGTGGCCTCTGTCACCAGCTTTAATCAAATAGGGGCCATAAAACCGAACTGTAGAAGCTGGAACATTCAGGAGGAGACTCGACCTTTGACCTGTTACCCATCTAACAGATGCAGGTAACATTCGTTAAAGACTACTTTAATAGTTTTCTAGCCTCTCAGTTTAGGTGGACGGCCATGTTTTGATAGGTTTGCATGTCTGCCATAACATTTTCCTTCTCCAGTATTCACCACTTTGAGTTGATTTGTTGTTTAAAATCCCAATAAATACCTTGAGGTTTGTGGTTATGCAAAAACAAAATGTGGAAGAGTTTCAGTCTGTAGATCCTTTTTCAAGGTGCAGCATTAATGTCTGTATCTCCTGTATTTTCCTCCTCATTAGATGGTGGAAAGTTTCAGAGCTGTGTAGATCAGATTGGTTGTGATGCAGATGAAGCCTATCAGGTTACAGAGGTTGGACAGGCCGTGGTAAAGTCCAAACGTTTTCTTGGAGGCTCTGTACTTTGGGTCCTTCTCCTTCAGCTTAGCGTATTCCTCTCTCTGGCTGCCCAAGCCGATCTGGTTCCCCAGGCCGTGCTCCTCTTCCACCGCCCTCAACTGAAACATTACCTCTGTGGCTGCTGGGCCAAACCACTGAGCGTTCAGGCCTGCCATGATCAGAGCCACGAAGAACATCCCCATCTGGAAGATAACAATAATAAAATGAGGGGAAAAAGTGCTCTGATGTAGATTTTTGATTCCAAACAAAGCTATTATCCCTCGCCTGCCCACTTTCATGCCAGTCCAGCAGCTCTCTGGGGTGGT